AAAAAAAAAAAAAAAAAAAAAAATCCAAAAAAATCTATAAAAATCCTACCAGAATTAGTAACTAATAATAGTTATGAGTAACTGTTTTCTAAATGAAAGGTCACAGGAGATAAGATCAATATATAAAAATAAAATAATCTAAAACCCAGAACCATAGGATTGTTAGGATTTAAATATAAAGAAAGATATGCGAAATATCAACACTTTAAAGAATGGCTAAGAAAAATTAAAGAAGCATTAAGTTAACAGCTGGCAGATTCTTCAGTATCAAGACACTGTATTGTCAGGTTCAAAATGATCTACATTTTCTATAAATTCCAATCAAATCCCAGCAAGCTTTGTGAAAGATTATTAACAAAGAAATCCTAAAATTCATACAGAAAAGCAAAGGCCTCTGAATAGTCAGAACAATTTTGCAAAAAGGAAAAGGAATACAATTTAAAGACATATACAGCCTGATTTCAAGGGTTTCTGTGAATCACAGCAATCAAGATCATGTGGGTTTTGGGTAAACAGCAAGTCAGTGAAACAGATGAGGGAGAACAAAAAACAGGCCTACAGTTAAAGGTTCAGTTTTTGACAAAGGCACTAAAATAATTTGGCTGTGGAAGAAAAGTCTTTTCAACAACTGGTATGAGAATAACTGCACAGCCACACAGGACAATATGAACCCCCAGTCCATTGCTGTGCTGGATACACACATTATGTGAGGTCATGGGCTCCCAATATTTAGAAGCATGAGGTTGGCAAAGGTTACCTGGGTAAGATCTGGAAAGCACTTCATCATAAAATTGAAAGAGAGAAAAACTGTATTTCATCAAAATTTAAAATTGCACATTAAAAAACACTAATAATAAAATGAACACTCAAGATGCAGACTTGGAGAGAATATTTAGAGGGTATATATCTGATAAAAGAATCCTCCAGTAGGAACTATGAAGATGAATCAGGCATGGTGGTGCACACCCGTAATCCAAACCCTCTGGGAGGCTGAGGCAGGAGAATCCCAAGTGGAGCCCTGGACAATTTAGAGACTTTGTCTCAAACTGAAAGTTTAAAATAAAAGGATGGTGATGTAGCTCAGTGCAAAGACCCCAGGTTTAATCCCCAGTATAAAAAAATTACAAGGATTAATAAACCAATAAAAAGTGGGCAAAGACTTGAATGGGTATCTCAGAAGGGAAGAAATGTATGTGGGTAATAAGTAGATGAAAAAGTGCCCAACACCATTAGTCATCATGATGTAGCCAATTAAAACCACAAGGAGGTATCAGCTCCCATCCAGCAGAACAGCTAAAATTTAAAAACCTAGTGTGGTGTGGATGCAGAGCAGACAAAACTTTTGACCTCGTGGGTGAGGGTGTAAAACAATACAACTGCTTTGCAAACTGGTTTGGCAAATTCAACCTACTGGTACCCATGACTCAGCAGATACCTAGGGTTTTGTGACCCAGAACCATACAGATTTACTCAAGATAAATGAAAATATGCCCATGCAGAGATGTGTGCAGGGATGTTTATAACAATTTTATTCATAATATCCACCTGTAGGAGGAATCATAAACAGATTGTAGTAATAAAAAGAAATGCACAGGAAAGAACCACTGATAGACCCAGCACCATCAGAAACATGCTGGCCACAGGAATCTAGACACAAAAAGGGTCCCTACTGCATGGCTCCAGGTATGTGAATCAGGTGTGTCAAAACGGCCTGCCTGTCCGTGGGCGTCCTGGGTGGGAAAGATGGACCAGACTGGGATGGGTTGGATGAACCTTCCTAGGGCACTGAAAAGGTTCAGTATCTTGATGGGCTCTGGGTTACATTTGTTGGCTGTACACTGACAATCTGTGCCTTTCATCACATGCAAATCACATCTCAATTTAGAAGAGACATTAGGACGGGTTTGGGTTGATTCCTCTAACATAACACTGTTCTCACACACTTGAAAGCAGAATAATTTCTCAGTGGGCTTGGGGGAGGGGGTAGAACTACAGCTGATGCTCTGGGGATGAACTCACGCCCCCCTACTCTTGGTATTGCTTACATCTGTGAATCCCATCCACCATCTCCATCACCACCACCACCACTATCAATAACAACAAAAAAACACTAAGTGCTGCTAAATTACACAACATCTGTGTTCATCTCTTAGAACTGCCAGTAATAAATTAGCACAAACTGGGGGCTTAAAACTAATAGAGTTTGTTCTCTAATAGTTCAGGAGACCAGAAGTCCAAAGGGAAGGCACCATCTAGCTTCTAGAGGTTTCTGGAAATCCTTAGTGTTCCTTGGAGTATTAGTCACATTTGTGCTACTATAATGAAATTCCTGAAGCAGTTTTCCTTATAAAGAAAAAAGTTTTCTTTAGTTCCCGGTTTTGGAGGCCAAAAGTCTGAGACTGGGTAGCCTCATCCATCTGGCTTTTGGTGAAGGCCTCATGGTGGAGTGGAATGCAAGAGTATGGGACCACATACAGGTGCCAGAGAGTGATGAAGGGGTCAGAGTGGCTCTTAACACAACTTATCCTCTCCAGTCAGTGCTCAGGGGATGCATGAGAGTCCTTCAGTCCCTTGTGAGGGCACTGACCTCATGACCAAAGGTCCACATGCTAGGTCCCTTCTCTTCAAGGTTCCACACCGTCTCCCAGTGTCACCACCTTGGAGACCAAGCTTCCAACATGTGAACCCCTGGGACATACACTGCATCCAAACCATGGGCCTTACAGACATGTCTTCGGGATGTGCCTACATTGTTACACGGCCTTCTTCACTGTGTTCTCTGTACATCCTTCCTTTTCTTTTTATAAAGAGACCAGTCATGGAATTAGCCCTGCCCTTATCCAGTATGACTCGACTTTGACTTAACTAATTACAACTGTAAAGATCATTTTTCCAAATAAGGTCACATTCTGAGGTTCCAGTAGACACAACATATGGGTGGTACTATCTAACCTACTAGTGTACTCTCTCCCATTCCAGTGGGGATGAAAATAGGAAGAACATCTCCAGGAGTAGCCTAGTGTCTCTAGGGGCACTCTGAACAACCTGTGGGTGGGTTTGGGACATGCAGGCCCAGGCAGAGGAAGTGCAGTGAAGGAAAATCCCGAACAGCAAAGGCCACATCTGTGGGCTATGCCCCCACGGGACACAGGGTCACAGGAGAGGTTGCTGGAGGTCCTGGGGGTGCTGCCATCCCCAGCCAGCATCTAATCACCCAGAAGTATCACTACAACATGAAGGCCCAAGCCCTGTCTTAGTCACTTCTCTCCTCGTGGGACAAAATACATGACTCCCACAACTTAAGGGACAAAGGTTTATTTTGGCTCACAGTTGGAAGAGGTTTCAGTTCATAGTGGATGGGCAGCAAGGCAGGGCAGCATGGCAGAGGGGCACAGGGGAGGAAAAGCTGCTCACCTCATGGCAGCCAGGAAGCAGAGAGAGTGAAGGGAGGAGCCAGGAAGGGAGATGTAACCATCTGGGTCACACCCACAGCGGCCCACTTTGTCTAGCCAGGCCCCACCTCCTAACAGCAATTAGCTATAAACCCTTGTAATCTGAGCATTTACTTCCAAAGGTCCTGCCGACGATCACATGAGGCTTTAGGGGATCATCTAGGTATAAACTGTAACAAGTTCCTGGGAAAGAAGATGGGGATATGCTGGGGACATGCTGGGGACGAGCTCATTTCCATGGAAGAAGCAAAAGGTCGCACCATTGCTCTGGCTCAGAGTTGCTTTTAATTTACCTTTACCATTTTTCCAGAAAGGAGTTCTGGCCATTTCCCTTTCTCCAGAGGAGTTAACCTTTAGTGGGATGAGCAATCAATTCTCAGCCTGCAGACCTCCTGCTGGTTTAGAGGAGGAGCTGGCTTTTTGTAAATGCACCCCACCTAGCTCCCTCCTGTCTCGAGGCACCCCCAATTGACCCCACTGAATACTCAGAGCCTTTACATCTTTTCAGTTCTGCCCCCTTAAGGCCTGCTCCAGGAAAGGCACACAGAGCCAGGTGCAGAGGGGCCAGCTGCGCTTCCTGTCAAAACATTCCCACCCATGGGATGCGGGTCTTCCTGGTCACAGGGGGGCTCAGAGTCCCAAGGTTACTGCAGGGACACTGAGCGCCAGTCTCATGCAAGCATGTCTGCCTCCCGGAAGGCTGGCAGCCTAGCCATGCTTAATGTGTTCCTTGTCCTCTGAGCACCTGTTTGGAACAGTGGGAACAAGGAAAGCAGGCATCACAGGAGACCAAAAATAGCACTGTCAGGCTGGGGTGAAGCTCAGGGGCAGGGCACTTGCTTAGCACTGCATCTCCAGCACCACGAAAAGAGAAAATCAGAAACAAAACAACAGTGAGAAGCAGGAAAAAAAACCAACATTACTTACAGAGGAGGGATGGTCCGTCTGGGGGGCCGAGCTGGCTTGGCAGTATCTACATCTCAGACCTTGTCAGATTGATGCTCAAGGCCTGCAAAAATGGTTCAAGATGCCCTGTTAAAGATGCTCAGTTATCTTTCAGTGTCCTTACCAGCCTGCTCGGGCTGTTGTCATGGGTCTCAGAGTGGGCAGCTCACACAAGAGGAACTCCTGGTCTCACAGCGTTGCAGACCGAGGTCCAGGGTCAAGGCACCACGGCTTGTTTCCCTGTGGGGCCTGCCCACCTGCTTGAGGATGATCACCTCCCACTTGTGCTTTTAGGTGGCCCCTCAAAGCCACATGCCCCCAGAGGAGGGCTTGCAGAAAGTACATGGATTACAGGGGTGCTACAACTGATTTGCTGGTGGGAAGGTCTGGTTGGAGCGGAGTCACTGGGGGTGACCTGCAAGGTCTCCCTCCCCTGCTCTTCCCCCCACCTCTGTTTCCTGGCTGTCATGATGGGAGAAGCTTTCCTCTACTTTGACTCTCTGCTGGTCCATTTTCTGACTTGGAGCCAGCCAGTTGTGGACTGAAAACATGAGACAAACAGAACCTTTCCTCCTTTAAATTATGGGTGTCAGGTGTTGTGTCTTAGGTAGGGGAAGGTGACTAAGACACAGCTCTGTCCTCAGGTGAACTTTCTGTGTGTATATGAACTCTGGTGTCTCTTCTTTTTATAAAGACACAAGTCACTGAGACTTGTGGGGCAGAACCTGTAATCCCAGCACTCTGGGAGGCTGAGGCCCTGGGATCTCAAGTTTGAACCCAGTCTGGGCAACTCGGCAAAAGCTTACTTTTAAAAAAAATTTTTAAATGGGCTGGGGATATAGTTCAGTGCAAAGGCTATGGGTTCAATCCCCTGTACTAAAAAAGAAATATTAGTCTTGTGGATTCTACCTTTATGACCTTATTTAATTGTCTTCTTAAAGGCCCTATCTCCAAATATGATTGCAGTGGAAGTTGGGGCTCCAACATATGTATTTGGGACCACAATTCAGTCCATAAGAGGAATTCGGCACCCCCCCCTCCCAAGATGGGATGCAGGGATCCACACTGGCTCTTTAAAAAGTAGATTACACCTGACAGAACCTAAAGAGCATATGCCCCTCGGGCAGTCTTTCCAGCAATTCTGTGATTGTCCCAGGTTTTATGGAGCTTCCTGTATGCACTACTAGTCCCAAAACTTGAAAGACAATTGCAGAGGGTGGGGCGGGGCAATGGTCACTGTGAGAGGGGCCACACCTATAGTAAAGTAGTACAGTATAGTAGCCAGGAGAACTGACTTTACATTTCCCACCCCTCTGTGTGCTGACCATGCTATTCCTCTTCCAACACGCCCTTCCCCATGGGGGCCACTTGGTAGTTGCCAACAAATCCCCAGGGTGCCACGCCACAGCCACCCACACCCCCAGAAGCTCTGTGATTCCTTTGTCCATGTGTCTTCACTTAGCAATTTGCCTTTGAGAGCAGGAGCTTTGTCACATCTGGGCACCAGCAGAACTGAGATCCGGGTCATAGGTCACTGCAAGTGCTTGGACGTGTCAAATCTCTCTAAGAGACTTCTAGTTAGTACCCTGACCCATCCAAACCCAGACTTGCCCTAGCCTGGCTCTGTGCAAAGGTGGCAGGGCTAAGGCCATCAGACCTTGTGCCAATGTTCTCCCTGGTGCTGAAGCCCTTCCTCCAGAACTCAGTGGGGTCACAAGTCTGGAAGTGCCAGGGCCTCCATTAGCACTGCATGGAGCTGGTGAGGAATCCCAGATCCCCACTCTTAGGTGGAGAATTTCTGGGGTGCATGTTTTGCTCACTTTTCCATGGGGTGGGGCATCTATTACCCATACTCCATAGGCTCAGTGCCTTTCCCTCCTTGGTCTGACCTCCCTGCCATACCATTCTTGTCCCCAGCCACTCCCCAATGAACGACTTGTATTCAAATCCTTGCTTTGTGGACGTTTTTTTGTTTTTTTGTTTTTTTTTGGAGGGGTGAGGGCTAAGCTAAGATGCACCCTGGAATAGAGTTTGGATTAGGGTGCTGAATTTGAATCCCCGCTCTGGTAGGGTTGAGCAGAGCACTGAGCTGTTCCCAGCTGAGGACTTCTGTGCACCAGGGACCCGGCATATGTGCATAAGTGGGGAAAGGAAACAGAGCACCCCACTAGCAAAGGAGCCTGACCCCAATCTCATGCCAGAGGCTCAGGGAGATAGACATGTGCCATTTCTCAGGAGGACGAAGGTCAGGGCCCACCCATGGAAGAGGAGGGACAAGGACCTGGATGGTGCAGGAGCCGACTCTGAGCAGCCCTGAGGTGCTCAGGTCTGTGCAGAGATGGCAGTGATGTCTCAGCCCATGGTATGAAAACCAAGTCTCTCAGTGTTGAGATAGCCCGCCCACACAGCTCCTGGGGCTCCAGGAATAGTACAGGCTGGCCCTGGGCTCTCAGTTTGAGCTGTAAAAAGTTCAGAGTACAAAGAACAGTTCTTCGTTTCACAAGGAACAATCAAGAGGGAAAGCCAAGCTTGGAATGGCAGGCAGGGCTTGTCCTGGAGAATCTTAGCTGAAATCACAGTTCTCTCTGCAAGGCTACCTGTGGAAATTTTAAAGCAGACCCTCACACCGTCTGCCACTCTTCCTCCCTTGCTCTGAGCCTGGCTCTGTGATGCTCAACTTACAGAACAAGATTTGGTGCTCATGTCAGCCCCAGGCCTGTTTCTCGGGATGCTCACTTCACTCTTCAACCCAAATGCTATGCTGGGAGGAAGATGCAGCAGCCCAGAGAGGCTCACATGGGAAGAACGAAGGTCCCCAGCCCCAGACCTGGCTGAGCACCCAGTAGCTGGCAGCAACCTGCCAGTTGTGTGTGCACCATCTTGGAAGGGGTCCCTCAGCCTTCAGCCGAGCCACTGCTGATGCCACATGGAACAGATAGCTCTCCTGCCAGGCATGGCCCATGCTCAGATCCATTCGCTGAGTGAGTGCCTTGGTGGTTTGAAGCTACCAAGGACTGGGCGCTTTTTATTCAACAAGACACAACTATAATTCCACCGCTATGCCTTGGACAACTGCTTGCACTGTTTGGGCCTCCAGTTCCTCACCTGGAGGATTCTGAGAAGGATTCTGAGGCTTCAGAGCACATCTCAGTTCACATAGGAATGAATCCCTGCAACATGCATGATCTTTACTGGTTTTATCATTAACGCATAATACCCTTTCTTCAATTCACTAAAAATCCCTCAAAAGTACATGGACACTTTATAGCAGTGCTTATTAAAAGAAGGGGAGGCCTCTGAGCCCTGATCCCTTGGGCAGATCTCATGGAATGCAGAGTCCAGCACAGGACGGCAGAATCAGACTGGGAATCTGCACTGTTAATGTGATCCCAGAGCACTGACGCCTCTCTGTGTGTCATGGACATCTGCCACTGCCCACAGGACTAAACATGAAGGCCATGTCTTATTTTGTCTTTATGATAGCTCTCTGGGGAATGTCCTGGAATCGTTTTCACTTTACAGATTGTAGATGCAACACCTGGATAGGTCAGGTGACTTGTCCCCAGTCACCTGAGTGGCTGAGTGGCTGGGATTTGCATGGAAGCCAGTTCATAGATATTCCCTTTCCTGCTGCCTCTTTTAAGCAACAGGTAATGTGAGATTAACAATTTTTTTTTTTTTAATCTCACCATTTTGTGCCTGTAGCCAGGCAGCTGGGGATGAAAATCTATCATAGGAGAACCGAAGTGGGGACTCAGTAGCACACCAGGAATAGCAAAGCAGAGTCAACAAAGACAGAGGTGACTTTTTCAGGCTTCCTATCACCAGCCGTGATTAATTTACAGCTTTTTGCATGCTAATGTCTGCCTGCCTTCTGCCAGTAATAAATAACCAATAAGCTCTAATACCTAGTTATTATTCATCCCTTTCAGATATTTGGATTTTGATACTTCACTGCAGTTCAATCACATTGAATTTCTTTAACCAGGACAGCTCCATTAAGAGTACCCTGCAAGGACATCCTGCCAGGACAGTGACAGTAATGGATCACGGGTGACAAGAGAGAGTGGGGAGTTGAGACACGAAATATTGGCAGCCACGGGGAAAAAGGAGAAGCTGTAATAAAAAGCACCACCAAACTCCACTTAAGTAACGTCAGGGTTGTGACACAGACCAATAAAACCAAAGAACTCACAGTGGAGGCCGACATGCCGTCCTTAACATGCCCGTCTCTGCAGCGGAGACCAGGGTCTCTTTAATCACCGCCGGGCACTGAGAGCGCCCTAAGTCCACTGCAGCAAATTAGAATAGCTTGCAAGCCCCTAGCTGTGTATTTCAGAAAGTTACTTGGACCTTTCTCCATTTTAATTTCTGCAGAGTGTTTTCCAGGCCAAGAAGGCTAATCCCACAGGCAAAGCTGGTCCGTAGAATGGTTTACATCTGGAGTTTACCTTCCTATCCATCTTTCCCCATTTACACATGGCCACACTCCTGCGGCCTCTGTGAGGCCACCTCCCTCAGTCCCCTCTCTGCCTTGTGGGCCTGGCTGCTTCTCCCAGGATGCTTCCAATATAAGAGTCCCCTTCCCAGAAAGCAGCAATTTTTGAATGTAGTTACCATCTGCGATGCTTCCAGAACAATGTTTTTAAATGCATAACATCACAGGCAGAGGATTACAAAAGAAAACCATTATCCTGAAATATAATTATTATATATTTAAAAATTACAATATTCTAATATACAGGGCTCTTTATTAATGCTTCAAGTAATACCTGGCCTCAGGGTCTGGTAACTACTTTACCTTTGAAATAGAGATCTATAAATGTCTTGAGGTATCTGCTAAAATCACTGTGTTGTTACCATGTTCATAATTGAAGGAAATGTTAAAATTTCAGTTAGTCTTAGCAAAAGAAAAAAAGATGTCATTCATTCCATTCAAGTTCATGGGCTTCCTGGATTTTATCCACAGGTTCTTTGGGTGGACACAGGGATCCAGGCGAGGAGCTGTGTCCACGGTGGCCTATCCCCACAAGCACTCGTAGATACCTGTCTTCCCTGCTGGAT